CATCACCATTATCATCATCGCCACCATCATCATCAGCATCGCCATCATCATCATCATCATCACATCATCATCATCGTTATCGCCATCGCCTATGTCATCATCATCATCACCACCACCATCATCATCATCATCATCATCATCATCATCGCCGTCATCATCATCGTTATCGCCATCGCCTATGTCATCATCATCATCACCACCACCATCATCATCATCATCATCACCACCACCACCACCACCACCATCATCATCATCATCATCATCATCGAGGAGCTGCGCGTGGACCAGGCCGAGTGCATCTTTGGCCCTCGGGTGCCCGCGCGAGGACTGTCCCTGCGGGCATCCGGCACAGGGCCTGCTCGTCGCCCCGGTTCCATAGCAGCGCGCTCTGCACTAGGCGGCGGGGCTGGGTTCAAGTTGGGTATTTCCCCCTACAGGAGGAGTATTCGAGAATAGTCGAAAATCGTCAGGGGACGATTTTTCGACTGTTCTAATTCATTGTTGCGCATTTTTTTGAATATTCTTGATTCTTCGTCCAAGATCCGCCTGTAGGGGGACATGCCCGACCTAAGACTGGATGGTCTGCGCGTGGTCGGTGGTGCTGAGGGTCCAGGACTTGCGGCCACTGTGTGACGAATCGCGTGTAGCCGGGGGCGAGGTGGGATGAGATGGTCGCCAGCGCGTTGGCGCCCCGCTCCTTCCACCAGGCGTGCTTGCAAGGTTGGGTGTAGTACCATCAGGGGCAACGGTAGGGAGGAATATAGGCATAGGGAGGGATGCATCGACCCCCAATCGCCCATCGATCGCCGACAGGGGTCTGATAGCCTCTCAGAGTCTTGCTAGCATTTCGAGGCAGAACCAGCCGTGGCCACGAGAGGCCTCCCAGAGGCCCGAAACCCATCTTGATAAATTCAACGTGTCAAGAAGCTTCGATCTTCGAATCTCGGACCTCGGACCTCGAACGTCAGCGTCGTTGTCGTAGTCGACGTTGTCGCTGCCGCCGCCTCCGCCACCTCCGCGTTTCGTAACCGTTGTGTCGTCGTCGTCGTCGTCGTCGTCGTCGTCGTCGTCGTCGTCGTCGTCCGTCGTCGTCCGTCGTCGTCGTCGTCGTCGTCGTCGTCGTCGTTCGTCGTCGTTCGTCGTTCGTCGTCGTCGTCGTCGTGTCGTCGTCGTCGTCGTCGTCGCCGTCGTCGATGTCGTCCTCACCGCCGCCGCCGCCCGATGGCCGCCGAGGGCCGGCGTGGGCCGCCGATGGTTGCCGCAGTCCGCCGTGGGGGTCCGAGGGCCGCCGTGAGCCGCCGCCGCCGCCGCTGCCGTCGGCCACAGTGGCCGCCGCCCCGCGCCCGAGGCCCGCGCGGGCGGGGAGCTGCACCGGCAGCTGCGGCCCCGCCGCCGCCGCCTCGGGTGCGGCGCCGCGCCCTGGACGCCGGAGTGGCGCCCCGCGCGGCCAGCCGCCGCCGCCGCCGCCTCTGCTCGGCGGCCGCTCGGCGGCCCGCGGCGGCCTGCGGCGGCCTCGCGGCGGCCAGCGGCGGCCCGCGGTGGCCCGCGGCGGCCCTCGGCGGCCCGCGGCGGCTCGCGGCAGCTCGCGGCGGCCCGCGGTGGCCCTCGGCGGCTTCGGGGCTGTTCGACGGCGGCGCGGACGGTCGTCGCCGCCGTCGGCGTCGTGGGCGTCGTCGCCGTGGTCGGCGTCGCCGTCGTGTTCGTCGGCGGGGTGTTGGTGGTGGTCGTCGTCGGCGTACGCGTGGGGAGGAGATGAGGATCTGCAGGAGGAAGAGGAGGAAGGGGAGGAGTACGGAGGACGAGAGTGCGAAGGCGATGGGGGAGATGGGGGAAGAATGGGGGGAGGAGGAATGACGAGTATGAGGATGGGTGAGGTGCGGGTCGAGCAGGATAAGGAGGAGGAGGATGATGATGATGAGGAGGAGGAGGATAAGGAGGAGGGGGAGGAGGAGGAAGAGGAGTACTTTGGCTGGAGAAGGAGGTTGATGAGGATGAAGTGGAAAAAGGAGGTGGACAAGGGACGCGGAGTGAGTGGGATCTCAATTTGCAGTGGGTGGAGCCGAGGGGCTTACTGTCCGCTGACGTCGCCGTTCCTGTGGGAGGTCGGGAGCACATGTTCGGATGAGACGAGGATGGGTAGTGATGCATATGATGCGGATGAGGATGCGGATGAAGATAATGATAAGGATAGGATGATGTTGTCGATGTTATTGTTGATGATGCTGCTGCTGATGATAATGATGGCCACGCTGATGGTGATGACGATGCTGATGATGATGCTGATGATGATAATGGTGATGCTAATGGTGATGATGATGCTGATGATGCTGCTGAGGACGATGATGCTAATGATGGTGATGGCGATGCTGCTGATGTTGATGATGGTGGTGATGATGATGATGATGATGATGATGATGATGATGATGATGATGATAACGGCGGCCTTGATGAGGATTATGCTGCTGCTGATGATGATGGCGATGACGATGGCGATGACGATGCTGCTGATGATATGGATGATGATAAGGATGATGATGAGGATGATGCTGATTATCGCGATGATGATGGCGTTGTTGATGATACTGATGATGCTGATGCTTATGATGCTGATGCTGATGATGGTGGTGGTGATGCTGGTGGTGGTGGTGGTGGCGGGATTGGTACGGTAGGTTTGCGTCGTGTCGACCAGCGGCGACCCCAGCGCGGGCGTTCAAGGTTGAACGCCGCCGGCGACCCAGAATCGATCGATGTTGAACGATCGGACGTTGCGACAGCGGCCGATCGTTCAAGGTTGAACGATCCCTGCGGTGTCAAAAACCAACACTGGGGTCGGCACGACACGAACCTGCCGTAATGATGGTGATGATGATGGTTGTGGTGATTGTGATGTTGATGGTGGTGGTGTCGATGTTGCTGCTGCTGCTCATGATGATGCGATGATGGTGATGTGGATGATGCTGCTGCTGCGGATGATGCTGTTAACGATGATGATGACAGCGCTGATGATACGGCTGTTGCTGATGATGGTGATTATGACGATGCTGATACCGACGACGATGGAAATCACGATAACGTTGCTGTTGATGGTGATGACCTTGCTGATGATTATGGTGATGATCATGCTGACGAAGATGATGGTGATGCTCATGCTGATGATGCTGTTGATGATGGTGATGATGATGATGATGATGATGATGATGATGATGATGATGATGACAATGACGAGGATGATGCTGATCATGACGCTGCTGCTGATGATGATGCTGATGCTGATGCTGATGATGCCGATAATGATGCGGATTCCGAGAATGAATCTGGTGCTGATGATGGTGGTGATGATGATGTAGATGATCATGGGGAGTGTAGTAATGATGATGGTGTTGGTGTGTTGAGACTGATAATGATGATGCTGATGATGATGATGATGTTGCTGATGATGATGACGATGCTGATGGTTATCATGATCATGTTGATGCTGATGACGATGCTGATGTTGAGGATGACGATGATAATACTGCTGCTGATGAGGATGATCAGGATGATGATTGTGGTAGTGGTGGTGCTGATGATGATTATGCTGATGATGATGATGCAGATTACGCTGATTCTGACTATGATGATGACGACGATGATGATGATGATGCTGATGATGCTGCTGATGATGCTGCTGCTGATGATGCTGCTTCTGCTGATGATGATGCTGATGATGATGACGATGATGATGATGCTGATGATGATGATGATGATGATGATGATGATGATGATGATGATGATGATGATGATGATGATGATGATGATGGCGATGAGGGTGAGAAGGAGGAGAAGGAGCAGCAGGAGGAGGAGGAGGAGGAGGAGGAGGAGGAGGAGCACGGGATAGCGGCCTGAGAACCTGGAGCCAACCGGGGGGGAGGCCCGGCCAGCCACCACTGGGGCATGCGCTGAGATACGGCCATTAGCGCTCGCTCCGCGTGCCGCGCCTCCGGTTCGTGGTGCACCGCGCTTCGGTGCGCCACGACAGCAGCGCCCCAGCCAGCCCGAGCGTCGGCGCCCCGAGGCCCTCCAGCCCCGCGGGGCCCCGCGAGGCGGAGCGACTCGCCGCCCGCCTGCAGGCCACGGCTCGGGGCCGGGGCCGCCGCCGCGGCGCGCGGAGCAAAAGTTCAGTCGGGCACGACCCTCGACAGGAGACATATTCAAACGACGTCCAGCATCTTTGGGATCTTTCTGAGTATCTTTGGGGTGTATGTTTAGTCTTTCGTCCAAAATCCCCCTGTGGGGGGACACGCCCGACCTAAAGCAAGAGCTCTTAGCCTTGGACCTGCCAGGCGCGCACCCAGAAGGCACAGCGCTCATTCACGGATCGGCGCGCCCGTCGCTGGATGCCCCTGGCTTGGCTTCGGCGCCACCTGAACATGCTGCTGCTATGCGTGCGTCGCCCCCCCCTGGGGGCGACGCGCGCAACGAGGAGTCTCGTAGTACACGCGTCAAGGCGGGCGCTTCCTGGCCGCGCCGCTCGGGACACGAACATACTACAAGAGTGGTCTACTATGCGTTCGGGTCGAGCTCGCGCCTCCAAGGAGAACATTCAGTACTAGTATGTCTTTGTGCGTCCCAGCCAGCACTGCTTGAAGCCCCGGGAGACGAGCAGTTCAATCTCGGCAGATGGTGGTCAGCTGTCTTCACGCTTCACGATATCCGTGAAATTTCCGCTGTCGCTTTGGACGAGGGGTCTCCGGCAACGCAAGAGGGTCGCATGCAATTGCTGAGCCCTCTTTGGGGCTATCGCTTCCGCCGTGATGGGCGACACGGTCGCAGACCTGTACGTTCTGGCCATTGCGTATTCGCGAAGACATCGACAACGAAATCCCAACCCGCCAGGAGAAGCGATTGCCTTCTCTCAGTCCGCGGGCCAGTCACGCCAACCCAGGGTCTCCACGGCCTGGGCGAGAAGCTTGCCGGCATCGGATGAGGCTCGTGGTTGGCTCCCGGCTCAATCAAGCCGACCCCCAAGTCTGACGGCTCTAAGTAGCGCCTACACTGGACAGCTGAGAAGCCTTGAGCCAAGGGTACAGTGTCATGAGCAATCGCAGCTAGCTTCGGCACCTCGTGCTCTCGAGCTCTGCTGCCTTTGGACCTGGTCTCTGACACACGAGACCCAGCGTGCACACGTTCACCTCACGGCCAGGAGGCCACTACGACCGACATCGCTCCTCTGACCGATGCCCAGAGCGCATCAGCCGAAACGTTTGCTATGGTAGCGTCCCGTGTTCCGACCTTTGCACCCACCGCAGCTCAGGCGCTGTCCATCATCACCAAGTGTCGGGTCCTGAGCCTCACTCTCGATGCACACCGCAAGCGCCCCGCTCGCTGGAGTCCACTCGAAAGTCGGGCGGCCCTGCGACCTCGTGGTTCTGCTCCACTTCTTCCTCCCCCTGGCTCCTCTGCCTCCTCCTTCCCCACTTCCTTTCCCCCCCTTCTCGACCTCACGTCTCCTCCTCCTTCCTCCCTCCTCCTCATCCCCCTCCTCCTCCTCCTTCTCCTCCTCCTTATCCTCCTCCTCCTCCTCCTCCTCCTCCTACTCCTCCCCCTCCTCCTTTTCCTCCTCATCCTCTTGCTCCTTCTCCTCCTCATCATTTGCCTTCCCCCCCCTCCCCCTTCCCCTCGCCCGTCCCCTCCATCTCTTTCTTGCCCTCCTCCTCGTTCTCCCGTCTCCTCCTCTTCCTCTTGCCCCTCCTCCTGCTCCTCCTCCTCCTCCTCCTCCTCCTCCATCTCCTCCTCCTCCTCCTCCTCCTCCCCCTCCCCCTCTTCCTCCCCCGTCCCCTCCACCTCTTTCTCTTGCCCTTCTCCTTGTTCTCCCGTCTCCTCCTCTTCCTCCTCTTCCTCTTCCTGCTTCTCCTCCTCCTCCGCCTCCTCCCCCTCCTCCGCCTCCTCCCTTCGTCCCTTCGTCCCCTGGACCCCACTCTCCCCTGTCTCTCGCCTTCCTTCTAAATTGCACACTCTGAATACTACTCTTCTTTCTCCCCAGGTGGCGTCTGGGAAATGTTCGGCCCCCCTCTGCGGATTGGTTTTTTACTCACAGGATTCCTGGGAGTTTGGTTTTCGCTTGTTCCCCACATCCAAAGTGGGGTTCTTGTTTTCTCTGGACACCCCGCGCATCAACAGGAACCCACCATCATCATCATCATCATCATCATCATCATCATCATCATCATCATCATCATCATCACTCATTCCTCACTCACTCACTCACTCATCATCCCTCACACACTCACTCACTCACTCACTCACTCACTCACTAACTCACTCACTCACTCACTCACTCACTGACTCATCAGCACTCACATCTGATGATGATGAATGTGCGCGTGAGTGAGTGTGATGATCATCATCATCACCAGTCAGTCAGTCACTCACTCACTCACTCACTCGCCTTGGGCCTCGTCTGTGAGTGAATTGCGAGGGAGTCTCAAGCGGGAGCCCCCTCCCTATGGGGCCCGCGGATCATGTTACTAATCCGAGCGGGTCATCCAATTCCTGTAACTGTCGCCACTTTTGGGCTCTCGCGCTGCCAGAACGCCATTCCCCGGCCACATTTGTGAGTGAATTGTGAGGAAGTCTCAAGCGGGAGCCCCCTCCCTATGGGGCCCGCGGATCATGTTATTAATCCGAGCGGGTCATCCAATTCTTGTAACTGTCGCCACTTTTGGGTTCTCGCGCTGCCAGAATGCCATTCCCAGGCCACATTTGTGAGTGAATTGTGAGGAAGTTCAAGCGGGAGCCCCCTCCCTACGGGGCCCGCGGATCATGTTATTAATCCGAGCGGGTAATCCAATTCCTGTCACTGTCGCCACTTTTGGGCTCTCGCGCTGCCAGAACGCCATTCCCAGGCCACATTTTGAATGCCCGGAGCCAACTGTAGGCCACTTCGTGTTCTTCGTGCTCCCAGAACACCACTCCCGGGCCACATTTTGAATGCCCGGAGCCAACTGTAGGCCACTTCGTGTTCTTCGTGCTTCCAGAACACCACTCCCGGGCCACTTTCTGAATGTCCGGAGCCAAAACAGGAGGGCGAGGTCGGGGGCAACGTAGGGAGCGGGGGGAGGGCCCGCGCCAGGGCGAGAAGAAATATACACAGAAGAGACAGCCGGGACGCTTCACCAACCACGAGGACGACGGTGAGGGCTTTTTCCAGATTCGCCCAGAGGATTCTCATGTGGGGTCCTTCCGTCGGAGTATTTCTTTTCAGAATGCTGCTCTCGCTGAAGCGCTGGCCTCATTTTTGGCTACCGCTCATTCCGAATCGTGCGCCAGCTGCAGCGCTGGCCTCATTTCCGCGCTTCTGCGCGTTCCGAATCGTGCTCCCGAAGCAGCGCTGGCGTCATCATTTCCAGCGCCATGCCACGGCATGGTTTTCGGTCCTTCCAAATCGGCCCCCGAATCTAGAAACTGCCCCCCCTAAACAACCACATCGGAAGTGATTCCACATTCGGTGTCGATTCGTTGATTTCATGGGCCGCAGAAGCTCCCCCCACTTTGGGGCGTCGCCACGCCATGCTATGTCAGGCTACGCGTCCTCATTTCCGCGTTTCCGCGCTGTTGTTTTTCAAACTGCTGCCCTCGCTGAAGCACTGGCTTCATTTTCGGGCTACCGCGCGTTCCAAATCGTGCTTCCGCTGCAGCGCTGGCCTTCGTCCCGAAATCGTGCTCCCGAAGCAGCGCTGGCGTCATTATTTCTAGTGCCGTGCCACGGCATGGTTTTCGGTCCTTCCAAATCGGCCCCAAAATCTAGAAACTGCCCCCCCTAAACAATCACATCGGAAGTGATTCCACATTCGGTGTCGATTCGTTGATTTCATGGGCCGCAGAAGCTCCCCCCACTTTGGGGCGTCGCCACGCCATGCTATGTCAGGCTACGCGTCCTCATTTCCGCGTTTCCGCGCTGTTGTTTTTCAATTTGCTGCTCTCGCTGAAGCACTGGCCTCATTTTCGGGCTACCGCGCGTTCCGAATCGTGCTTCCGCTGCAGCGCTGGCCTTCGTCCCGAAATCGTGCTCCCGAAGCAGCGCTGGCGTCATTATTTCTAGTGCCGTGCCACGGCATGGTTTTCGGTCCTTCCAAATCGGCCCCCAAATCTAGAAACTGCCCCCCGAACAAACACATCGGAAGTGATTCCACATTCGGTGTCGATTCGATCTTCAACACCATGCTATGCCATGTGGTGCTATGCCATGTTGCGTCATCCGATTGTGTGGATAGAGGAGAGATCTGCGCCATGGTAAGGGATGGGAGGGAGGGGCAGGACGTCATATATGACGCGAGCGCACCTAGCTTGCCCCTCTCCACTCTCGCCCCTCCCCTTCGTCCCCTCCCCCCATGCCCAGGTTCACCATTTCCCCGACGCACCTGGTGGCCCTGCCCTCCATGACCAGCGGCCAGGCGAGCCTCTGCGTTTCCCTGGAGCACATCCGCGCCGTGGAGGCGTGCCCCGAGAAGGACTGGGCGCGCGCGAGTCCCGCCCCTGCCGGCCCTCCATGTGTGAAACTGTCGCCAATGTCTCAGCTTCAGGGTCACAAGTGGTGAGACAATCTCGGGCGAAAAAGGCCCGGCCCGCCCTCAAAACTGGCTCCGGGGTGCGGCAGGGAGAGACTACTCAGAAGGAGCAGGAAAGGAGGCGGAGGAGGAGGAGGAGGCGGCGGAGGAGGAGGCGGCGGAGGCGCAGGCGCCTCGAAATTCCGATCAGAATGCGCCCCATGCGCCCCTGGAGAGGTCCAGGGGCGGTGCGCACGTTCGTCTTCAGAACCTGTGGCAAGCACGAGGATGCAGGGCGGCCCCTTCTCAATGGAGGAGTAGGAGGAGGAGGAGGAGGAGGAGGAGGAGGAGGAGGAGGAGGAGGAGGAGGAGGAGGAGGAGGAGGAGGAGGAGGAGGAGGAGGAGGAGGAGGAGGAGGAGGAGGAGGAGGAGGAGGAGGGGGAGGCGGCGGAGGAGGAGGCGGCGGAGGCGGAGGCGCCTCGAAATTCTTTACGCTTCGCGTATCCCCACCAGCCCATCTCACAGCAGCAACTCTCGCGAAGCATGCCGACAGTCGTGTTTTTCAGGCGTGTGTCCGCTTGGCCCCGCATATCTCCCCTGTTCCTCCTTCCTCCCGCCTCCTTGTACATCCTCCTTGTGGGGGAGCGGGAGAAGGACGAGGCGGAGGAGGAGGGAGAGAAAGCGCTCCTCGTGGTTTGAGTCGTTTGGGGTTTCTCGTCCTGGTGTGAGTCGTTCGGGCCCTTCTTCCTGGTGTGAGTCGTTCGGGCTCTTCGTGGTGTGAGTCGTTCGGGCTCTTCGTCCTGGTGTGAGTCGTTCGGGCTTCTCGTGGTGTGAGTTGTTCGGGCCCCTCGTCCTGGTGTGAGTCGTTCGGGCCCCTCCTCCTGGTGTGTCGTTCGGGCTCCTCGTGGTGTGAGTCGTTCGGGCCCGCGTCGTGGTGTGAGTCGTTCGGGCTCCTCGTGGTGTGAGTCGTTCGGGCGCCTCGTCCTGGTGTGAGTCGTTCGGGCCCCTCCTTGTGGTGTGAGTCGTTCGGGCTCTGCGTGGTGTGAGTCGTTCGGGCCCCTCGTCCTGGTGTGAGTCGTTCGGGCTCCTCGTGGGGCCTCTTGGGGGCCTCTTGGGAGCCTCCTGGGGGCCTCTTGGGGCCATCTTGGGGCCTCTTGCGACCTCCTCAGAAGCGCAAGTGAGCGCTGCCCCCTGAGAAGGACAAAATGAACCCAAAACCTTCGTAAAATCAATGATTTTGCTATGAAGGACGATGAGCGCGGCCCCCTTCAGGACGCCAAAATGGGGCCAACACCGTAGTAAAATCAATGATTTTTGCTTCAAAGACGAGCAGAGGGGCCAAACTGCATCCCCTCGTCGGGGCCAGAATCCTCGTGAGGGTCGTCGTTTTTTGGCCCTCCCAGGAGTCGAAAAAGACCCCCTGACTACGCTCGGGACTCCCTCTCCAGGTCCAGGGGGAGGGGGTAGGGGGAGGGGTAAACCCCTCCCCGAAGGGGAAGAAGGGGGGTTGAGGACAGAGAGCGCTCTCTAAACCACTCACACCCAAAGGGCTGGTGGGATTCAACCCAAAACAACTGGACCACTACAGGCATGAGAATCGCCAGAAGCTACAGTGCAAGGGGTGCGTCGCTGACATCGACGAACGAGTGCGCCACCTGCGCAAAGCGCTGCAGAAGAGCAAGCGCAAGTGCAAGTGCCATTGCCGCATTCACCAAGCCCAATGCCCGCTGATCCCCGTGTATTTCGGAGAGAAGCGCTGGCCGGGCAGCGACGGAGCGATATCTGCCGACGACCGGAAGTTGTTGGACGAGTTGCAACCGACTCCCGAATGGTGGAACAAAGCCTGGGGACGATGAGGTACGGCGCGGAGGCTGTCGGCCCAGACGCGTTACTGGCGACACTATCCCTTTGTATAGTGAGAATGAAAACGGGATGTTGCCGCAATGGACTCGGGGGTTCCTGTATACATGGCTACGGCTTCGGTATCTATCCAATGGTGGATGTGCCACTACACATTTTCCGTGGCGCCTCCAGTGGCTTGTACTATAGGAAACGGCTTGCTGGTGGAACGTGTACTACACTCAGCTGAACCCCGTACGCTTCACGTAGGCTCCACTATAGGAAACAGCTTGCTGGTGGCACTTGTATTGTAGTCGGCTAAAGCTCGTACTGTGGTTCTCGGGTGCTGGATACTGCACTCTGTGATGGTGCTCGTTATCCTGTTCTGGTGAAAGTGCTGCTTATTGTACTCAGTGTTGGTTCATTGGTGCGAAGAGTACGTTTAGTTTATAGTCTGTCTTCCAGTATTGGTGAGGCCCATGCTGACCACTATGGATGTCACGCTGCTATAAGAGAACATCTCTGGGTACAGTGAGACTGAACAGTGGATGTTGTCTCAATGGAGTCCGTCCTTTCTGTATATATGGCTGGAGCTTCGGTATGTATCCAATGGTGGATGTGCCGCTACTCTGCTCCGTGGCGCGTCAGGTGAATTCTAATGTAGTAAACATCTCGCTGGGGGATTTTGAATGGCATCATGGCAGAGACCGTACTTGAGCTTTCTCGTACTGGTTACCATGATCTGTGGTTACTGTACTGTGTGCGGGTGTTTGGCATCCTGGCAGGTGATGATGCTGGTGACTCGACTCAATGTTGGTGGATTGGTGGCAGTACCTTGTGATACAGCGCTCGATGCCAAAACATGTGCGTCCTCTTCGCAGTCCTCCTCCTCCGCTTCTGCCTCGTGTGTTTCGTTTCAGTCGTGTCCCTGGGATCTCGCTCTTCTGGAGTTGTGGTTCCTTCGCCGGTTCCTGTTACCTTGGCTTCGGTGGCCCCTCCGATGTCGGCTATGGTAGTGATTGCCTGTGTTCTGGTGTGAGTCGTTCGGGGTCTTCGTCCTGGTGTGAGTCGTTCGGGCTCTTCGTGGTGTGAGTCGCTCGGGCCGCTCGTCCTGGTATGAGTCGCTCGGGCCCCTCCTTGTGTGTGAGTCGTTCGGGCTCCTCGTGGTGTGAGTCGTTGGGGCCCCTCGTCCTGGGGTGAGTCGTTCGGTCTCCTCGTGGGGCCTCTTGGAAGCCTCTTGGAGGCTCTCGGGGCCTCTTGGGGGCCTCTTGGACGTCTCGTGGGGGCCTCTTGGGGGCCTCTTGACGCGTCTTGGGGCTTCTTGGGGGCCTCGTGGGGGCCTGTTGGGAACCTTCTGGGGGTCTCTTGGGGCCTCTTGGGGGCCTCTTGGGGGCCTCGTCCTTCCTTGTGTGAGTGCCTCAGAGCCCTCTTTGTGTGTGAGTCGTTCGGGCTCCTCGTGGTGTGAGTCGTTCGGGCCCCTCGTCCTGGTGTGCGTCGTTCGGGCCCCTCCTTGTGTGTGAGTCGTTCGGGCTCCTCATGGTGTGAGTCGTTCGGGCCCCTCGTCCTGGTGTGAGTCGTTCGGGCGCCTCCTTGCGTGTGAGTCGTTCGGGCTCCTCGTGGTGTGAGTCGTTCGGGCCGCTCGTCCTGGTGTGCGTCGCTCGGGCCCCTCCTGGTGTGTGAGTCGTTCGGGCTCCTCGTGGTGTGAGTCGTTGGGGCCCCTCGTCCTGGGGTGAGTCGTTCGGTCTCCTCGTGGGGCCTCTTGGGGGCCTCTTGGAGGCTCTC